TTGATCAAATAAAAAGTGATATTTATATTTTTTGTTCCTATAAAAATGACTCATCATGGGCACATCATGATTTTGTCCCTCAAATTTTTTTTTTTTTTTATTTAATGAAATAATAAGTGCAATTGGTAAACAGTTACCAATCAGTCACCAAGTAAATTCTATCAATTTATTTACCAAAACCACTTTTTCTCACATTTGGCATTTATTTTGGGTCATGCCTTTAAACATTGATTCACCAAACAAATACAGCTTTAGTTCATATTGTTTCTGCCTCATACTTGCTTTTGTTTCCTTCCTCTCCTTCTTTCTCATCCCCACCTCCCTCATTTTCGTAAAGGTCAAAGCTTTTAACTGAATTAATCTCACCAGGAGTTAGCTACAAGTAAGAAGTTATAGTCTTTATAGAATGTTCTCAACTCTCTTCCAAGCTCATAGTATGCCTGTGTGTGTTTGTTATCAGCAAAAGAAGATGTATCGAGGCATTATTGATGCGTGTTATTTTGGCAGACAGAATCTGGCAGACAGTTGAAGATGACAATGCAGAATTAAGTGTTTGTTTTTATGATAGCACACAAAAACGCCATCCATCAGTGAACTTTAATGCTTGGTGAGAGTGAGTCAGTGAAGGAGGAGTAGAAGAGGGAGAGAGATTTTCATCCCTGTCACGTTTAAGTGTTCGGCAGACAGTTACACTCAAACCATCTCAGTAATAAATGATATTTTATTTTTATTTATTTATTTTAAATGGTAATAACATTAGATATTTCTTGCACCTGTAAAAATTACTCATCATGGGCACATCATGATTTTGTCCCTCAAATAAAAAAAAAAAATTATAATAAAAATTATAATAATAATACTTTAGTTTCTTTCTTCTTCACAATAAAAGAAAAGCCTATAAATAATTGCTATTAGTAAACAGTTACCAATCATATTCGCCTTGTAAATTCTTTCAATTTATTCACCAAATCCAATTTATACTCACATTTGGCATTTATTTTGGGTCGTGCCTGTAAACATTGATTCACCAAACATATAAAGCTTTAGTTCATATTGTTTCTGCCTCATACTTGCTTTTGTTTCCTTCCTCTCCTTCCTTCTCATCCCCACCCCCCTCATTTTCGTAAAGGTCAAAGCTTTTAACAAAAAAGAAACTGCTGCCTGTTTTTACTGCAAAGGGCAGGCAGGTTTTTAAATAGCAAGATTATTTAAATATTGTGCAAACAAAATGCAAATATTGAAGAAGGTAATTAGCTTGAGTTCACGATTCTCAAGGGGTACGTGGGGCGGGTTACTCTATATTTGGAGGCCATGAGATTAGTCCAAACTTTGTTAATGTTATTTAAATTTTGCTTTTGAATGTATCGCTCACTTGTTGTTGGCAGAGTGTATGATTCTTCTTGCATGTTAACTGAGTACTTTTCTAAAAACCTCAGTTGAACCCACAGACCTTCATGGTTGAAGTGAGTGAGTGAGTGAAGTGACATGTGGCCAAGTATGGTGACCCATACTAGGAATTAGTGCTCTGCATTTAACCCATCCTTAGTGCACACACACAGCAGTGAAAACACACACCGTGAACACACACCCGGAGCAGTGGGCAGCCATTTATGCTGCGGCGCCCGGGGAGCAGTTGGGGGTTCGGTGCCTTGCTCAACGGCACCTCAGTCGTGGTATTGAAGGTGGGAGAGAGTGCTGTACATTCACTCCCCCCACCTACAATCCCTGCCGGTACGAGACTCGAACCCGCAACCTTTGGGTTACGAGTCCGACTCTCTAACCATTAGGCCACGACTTGAAAGGGGAATGAGGGATTTTTATGCAATAACATTTTATGTAGTTCAACTCTATGCTATGTTTGAGTGTCAAGATCAACCGATCACTTTTCCTGAAATCATCAGTATTCCATTAAACTCACAATGAGGCCAAGAGCTCATCTGAGAGTGCAAGTGTTCATGTGTCAAAAGAAAGCATTGACGGGGTTTACTCAAAATACGTAACAAAGTTCGACGTGTTTTCTATGAAGTCGCTAGATAGTGGCTAGATCATTGAAAAAGAAAAGTCTCTACGAAATTCTGGACTCTAGATATGGCTCTGGTGTCTCCTTCAGTATAAGTGTATTGAATTTTTTCACCTACAAGTCGAAAATCATAAGTACGATCACTTTGAAAAGTAACGGTACATTCACACGGGGCGTCAACGCTTGACGGAGGGCGTGTCTGAAGCTTGGCGCTGACACGATCGTCATAGTGATAACAGCCAATTACAGTGGACCGCAATTGGTTAGCGCCTGAGCTAGGCTATTTGCATAAGGCGATCTGATTGGCTGACGCCTAAAGTTGAGAAACTTCTGCCGCGAGCAACGGCAGTAACGCGACGCCGACGGACCCACAATTCAGTTCAGCAACGCATGACGTCACCTATTCAATGTAAATGAGAAGTGTTAACGTCGACGCCCCATGTTAATGTACCTTAATAATACACCACTCCTCGACAAGATGACAGTATTCATGCTCATAGCACAAATGGGAGTATTACACCACCCGTTTAATACGTGGTTAGGGGTTTTCTCAGATCACCAACCCCTGTAAATGTTCGTCCTTAAGATTGATCTGTGCACTCGGTAGTCTTCACAAGTGGATTTCTATTTTAATAGGACAAACACCAACCCATGGCACAGCGGTAGAGTAATACCCAATGGCGCTTTGATCTGCCTGTGTGTGTGTGTGTGTGTGTGTG